TAATTGGTAAAAATAAATAAGTAATTATACCAATTTTGTGACTATAGAGGAGGTGACTATAGAGGGGTTTGACTGTATTTATTTATAAAATAAAGTTAACCCTGTTGCTGCTTCTGCGGAACGTAATCGCGCAGTTACCAAATTTTGCTAAATAACGATAACATATTATTGTGGATCGACATCATAAATTGTAACAACAGACATATCATTTTTTAAAATTTTATATAGTGGAATATGTGCAGATATAGGGATATCATCTGGACTGTCTTCACTTTCAGGTATAAAACCTGCAGCATTATGCATTCCGAGAAGATGAACCCTGAGTCGGTCTGTTAAAGAAAACAAATCGAGAAACCTAAACACAGGTGCACCACTATCACCATGTTGTGTCATCGGGGTCGTTGCAATCATATTCTCAACTTCATGCTCTCCTACAAACCATGTCAAATCTCCATTTTTTACCTCACCACATCTTATTAAATTAGTTATAGCACCTATAGTACATACTGTAGCTCCAATAATAGAATTGCCTGCTATATGTGTAGCATCGGCAATCGCTAATTCTGGTTGCACTCGAAATCCTGGATTTCTTATATATGGGCTTTTGACAAATTTAGGATTATCTGGATAAATGAATCCCCTATCAACTCTTGAGAGATCGTACATAGTCATTGGTCCAATATATTCAGGAGGGTTTATACCTTTATAATCAAAAATATATTGCCCTTCATCATTCGTAATACCGTGGTATATACAGTGCCCGCAAGTCGTTAAGTAATATGTACTTCTAAAATACACCCAGAAACCTACAGTACAATCGCCATTAGGGTGACCTATGTGACTTCCGCCTAAGAGTGGAATGGTAATTTGACGAGATTTTAAGGATGATGAATTATGTAGGCTTCTTTTTTTGATTTTCTTATTGTAGGCTATAATCGGAATTGGGTCAAGTTTTTTGGCACTGTTGATAAATGCTTTGTTTGCTTTATCATCAGTATTATTTAAATATATGACTATATTATTTTTTTTGTATTCGTTACTTATCATAACGTCTTTTACTTTGTAATGCCCTGCTAATATAATTAATATTTCATAAACGTTATTCAATTTAGCTAAGGAATTGTTAACTGGTATAAATGACAATAAATTTTGATAAGGTTTTATTGCTTTATTATTTGTTATAATTCCTTTCTTGGATGGTCTATTGTATTGATAATTATTTTATTTGCTTTTAAATCTATATAAGATCCACCATAGATTGACTCATCAAGTAATGGAATTAATTGAAGGTTTCCCTTGATTAAAGTTTTCTCTCTAGCAAATAATTTAGGTACTTCTTTTTCATCCACATTCCAAAGTTTTGCCAATACTGAGGAAGGAGATGACTCAGGAGATGATTTAGGAGATGACTGAAAAGCATAGGCTATTAAATAAATTTTTATTACTAATAATGATAGTAATAAATTTAAGAATTCGTAAGTATATTTCATGTCTTTATGTTTTTAATAATTATCACAGTAAAATTGTAAATAGTTGAAACTAAAATTGCTCATTTAAATAATAAAACAAAAAATTTAGTATTAGGCCATATAAAAATTTTTTTTTGATTTTCATAACCCGGCCGGGTCAAAATTTAAAAACTTGTAAAAAATTTTTTTTATATGTTTAAATAACCGGGTGGGTTTTTTAAAAAAATTTTTTATATATAAAATTTTAAAAAAAAAAAAAAGCCGGCCGGGTCTGTTTAAACAGTTCTATGTTATGAAAACCAAAAAAAAATTTTTTTTGTATAGCCTTAGTTATTTTGCTTCATTTTATTGTATTTTTTAGGCTAGTTAATAAAAGTATAAATTTATATATCGCATTTCATAAAGCAGTGATGGGCAAATTAGCCTTTTTTCAAACTTCATGCGCATTGAAGCATTATGGTAATGCGGACCAGTTATGAGATTCCGAAATAAAGTATTCAGAAACTCCAATGCGCATTGGCACATCACTAGCCATAAATCTAAATAGAAATATTTAAACATTCCGTTCTAACGCTAACTTATTGTTATTTACGTAATTAGATCTGTTCATCCTTATTTATATGATCATAAACGTTGGGGTCTGTCATATGTTAATCAATCAGGTACGTACGTACGGGATTTACTAATTTTCCCCACCACTTCTGATTGGCTGTACTAATTATTCAATTATTGGAGTATTTATATTAGTAATC